ATATATATATATATATTGATCAATCACAATGTCCAACATGTATAAAAAAAAAAACAAGAACAATATTTCAAAGCTGTTTTCTTAATTTGTTCCAACTAAATCAGCTTAAAACTGTACAAGCATGAAAATGAAATAGTAACAGATTTTTTACTCCCAAGGGTATTTCTATAATAAAAATTTCTCAATTAGCATAAATCATTCAAAAAGTTGGTGGTAAAAGAAAGAAGATACAAATTAGATCTGCTAAAATTTAAAAATTAACGGCATTCTTCTTCCACTGCAGCACCGGTCATGGTGGAGAAGCTCTACTCAGGTTGAAAGCTCCCTTACCGGTCATGGTGGAGAAGCTCTACTCAGGTTGAAAGCTCCCTTCCTTCTTTTAATCCAAATTTATTGCTTCCTCGACCTGCACATTGCTTCTTCTTCTTCTTCTGAGAAGAGCCAAGTCCTTCCATAAGTGAAAATGGCGGCAAGAAGAAAGAAAAACCAGAAGAATCTGTCAAGAACCATTAACCTCCTTCCTAATCACTATACCCTGAAGAGAATGAAGATGGACCTTCTTCTTCATCTTCATCTCCATCTTCGTCCCCGTTAGCATCATCAGCATCAGTCATCTCATCATCTTCGACCATCTCTTCATCATCCTCGTCAACCTCATCTTCCATGTCTTCGAGCGCACCCTGGTCGCCGTAATCTTCTTCTTCCTCTGCATCCTCATCCATTTCCTCTTCTTCGCTCTCATCATCCATACCTCCAATCGAACTCGATTGATTGTATCGCGCACCATATTTGGGAACCGGTTCATCATACTCATCTCCTGAAACTTGTTCATTATCATCGAGGGATTGCGAACCAGCACTGTTATCATCTTGCTTGATATAATTCTGTCCTTCTATGCCCCATTCATCGCCGCCCGAGCTTCTGAGAGATTCTTCGGCACTTTCTTCTTTGCTGCACGCACCAACGTCGCCAAATGAATGGAAAAAAGTTGCCCTGGAAGATGGCACCTGGCTCTCGGACCTTTGGCGGGGACGAACTGATCGTCTTCCGCGACGGCGGCCTCGTCCACGGGTTCGTCCTCTTCCACTGAGCTTTCTTTTCTTGACTAAATTGCTGATGTTCTCTTCATTAAAGTCTGATGTGGAGACAATAGAGGTTGCTCTCGTACCCCTCCCGCCTCTACCTCGGCCTCGTCCGACACGGCCGCCTCTGCTCCCTCTCCCACGGCCTCGACGCCCGCTGCTGGAATCAAGCCACCTCCCCTCGATCTGATAATCGACTCGCTCCGGAGTTCCGGCTGGCTCAAACTCATGAAGCTTCTTCACAACAGTGAATCTCGAAGGCTTCTGCAGATAATAAATGTATTTATGCCTCAGAGAACATCTTTAAAAAACCAATTAATGAAAAACATGTCAAGATATTCAAAATCTCAATTACATACAGTTAAAGATTCTTTAACATGACTAATTGTATTACTTTTAGATCCCAAGCTCCTACAACTAGATTCATACAAGCATATATATCTTGGCAAATTAAATGCCAACAGAATTCTTGTGTATTTACATATCTAACTGCCAAAAGTTTGATATTTACACTAGTAACCTTGGTGTCATAAACACATGCATGAAAAAGATGCATTTTAGCTTTTAAATTACTTGTGATGGCAATGCTTATAATGTGATCTTTTAAAGATTTTAGTATGAGTGTAAATATGAATGTTTAGGTGTTAGAAATGTAAATACATAAGAATTATGTGGTATGTATGTAAATGCTACATCTATGTTTTGTTTTATTGGTCAAACCAAAGGCTACTTGAATGGTAGGGGCATTTATATACATACCATTCAATTCTTATGTATTTACATATGAAGCTCCTAAACATCAATTTTTTACATATATACCACTGAAATCTTTCAGAAAATATAAAAAATAACAATATTTCGACTTTTAAAAAGTGAAATACACCTTTTTTTTAACAGATAGGTAAGGCGCCACACATATGTAAAAGATGAAGTTTTGGTATTAGATATGTAGAGAGATTGGAAATGAGTGTTATGTAGGGAATGTAAGTGAGTCGACCCAACCCGTGAGCCAGACTCGAGCTCAACTCGATTAATGGTTCATGAACAGGACTTGATAAGCTAACAAGCCAAGTTCAAGTCAGCCTCAACTAGACTAGTTAGGTCATGAGCAGGCTCATCTAAACAATAATTCATTAAAATACATTAAAAATTCACAAAAAAAAATTCTTTAAATTATTAAAAAATGTTAAAAAAATTGATATTTATATTTAATATCAAGTGATTTCTTATTAATTATCTACTAAATATTAAATTTATTCGTCATTTCACTATAATATTAGCTTAAGATATTTATATTTAATATCAAGTGATTTCTTATTAATCATCTACTAAATATTAAATTTATTCGTCATTTAACTATAATATTAGCTTAAAGGTGTCTCGAGCTCGACTCAACTCATTTATGCCCCTAGTGATATGTAAAAATCTTCCTAAATAGTAAAGAAAATGGAATGAAACTCACAAAGAAATCTCGAGATTCTCCTTTCAGAGATGCTGATTTTTGTTGAGGCATATAAGAAATTGATGCATCAAGCTCCAGGAGTCTCAATGCAACAGCTGAAGTAGTGTCCGGTATCCATGGAAGTACGGGCACAGATCCCGAAATAGACGTGCTATTAGCCGCCGCAGAAGAAACTTTAGCAGAACTTAACAGTTCATTTGTTGTTTCAAAATTTGAAGACAAGTGTTCCCTCTTTATTGCACCCTCTAATAATGTCAAAAGCTACAAATAATCATAAGAATAGCAAATATTAAACTAGAGTTAATCAACATCTCCAAAATAACCAACAAGATAACTTGGCAACATTGATCAAATTTAAAGCAAAACTGAGTTGGACTGGTTACCTGAAGAAAGTCGTCAGCCGAAGACGCTGAGTTTAACTTAACGCCCCACGATTTACGATACCCCTCTGTCCAGAAAGGCTGGAGAGCTTCGGCCGGAATCGAAACCTGAGAGGAAAAGAAAAGAACATCAAAACAATCACAGATTGAGGCAGACAAATAAGGAATGACAAGTTTAAGAACAAAAAAGTAGGGGCATTAACAAACATATCACCCAATTCTTATGTATTCAAAACGAACACCTAGATTTTGCTTTTTTACATTAACACCACCCAAATCTTTCATATCACATCAAAGGTTGCATTCATACCACCCAATTCCTATGTATTCACATCATACCAACCCAACTCCTATGTATTTAACATATCTAACACCTAAACTTTATTTTTTGCATTTTTACCACCCAAAATTTTCATATCATATAAAAATACCACTATTTTAACTTCTAAAAAGTCATATACACCTTACGCATAGATAATGTGGCATAAGTGTAAAAATTGAAATTTAGGTAATTGAAATTTAGGTGTTAGAGGTGTTAGACATGTAAATACATAGAAATTGAGTGGAATGTATGTAACTCTTCCATTTAACTTCTAAATAGTGAAATGCGTCTGTTCATGCACAGGTAAGACGGCGTATATATAAAAGTAGAATTTTTAGATGTTTGATAAGAAAATACATGGGAATTGAGTGGCATGTGTGGAAATCTTCCAAAATAGCAATAATCTTCGTTTGCTGTTTCACACTCACCTCGACCAACGACAGCTGTGTCTTCAGTAAATGGACGCCAATAGGGAGAGACGAATCAACCATTTGGCTTTCGGAATCTTTGTCTACTTTCCTCTTCACAATACAATTAGCGATATGCTCCGCAAACATCGCATCGCCCTTATGAATGGATTTGAACATTCGGTGGCAGGAGGTGCAGTGCCTTTCTTCTGCGAAATAAGACTGATAACAGATCTGGCAAGTCTGCAGCAGCTCCGAACATCTTTTCTTCCCATATCTCACAGCGCATAAAAGAAGAGGATTGTTGCAGCATTCCTTCCACATCCACTTAAGAAAACCGTGGTATCTCTTCAATGCTGACATTCGCTCCATCTTACTTCGACCCAACTGGATCCTGAAAGATGTGGAGCACTCGACGCTGTCAGAGGTAACGCCGCTGTGCGTGCTACTCGGACTATCATGCTCGGTATAACAATCAGGACTGCGAATTGATTCATTAGACCCAGGTTTAAAATGAAATCCGCTTGTTTTAGCCGAAGCAGCGTGCTTCTTATGCCTTGCGAGAGCTTCTTTGAAGGTCGTCTCAATTCTTTGCAACATAGAATGTAGATGAGATTCCCTTATCCCCCGCGTATCGAGAGCGTCCAAAAGCGAATCAAAAGTCTGGAAAAGGAAATTTTATTGCAGCAAATGATTTGTATGAGATCAAGAGTGATTAACAAGTTCTTAAATCACATGAAATAACACTATCCTACACAATTGAAAAAACAACTAAAATATTGCACGAAGCATGCATGATCAGTGCTTGTTGCTTGAATAAGAATATAGCACACAACATTTCTCGTATTTTTACATATCTCACACCTAAACTTTCATATTTAAACACCTAGCACTCAAATCATTAATCCCATAAAAGAGAGAACTATTATCACTTTTAAAAGTGAAACACATTATTTCATGCATGGGTTTAAAGCATTAAAGTGCTATATAAATAAATATGAATGAATATGAATGTTTAGGTGTCAGATATGTAAATACACAAGAATTATGTGTTATATAAGAATATGAATGTTTAGGTGTGAGATATGTAAATACACAAGAATTATGTGTTATATAAGTAAACTTTCCAAGAATATAATACCTCCTCCGAATCAATTAGCCTCCACAAACCATCTCTAGATTCGAAAAAGATTCGTCCTGAACCAGGATCATTGGGAGAAGCAGACGTCGAAAATAACCAGTATCTGTTCCGCCTACGATCTTGGCCCAACGGTAAAGACCGATACACGTAAAGTTGTTCTGCCTTGTGACCAATATACGACTTCAACTGAAAGCGTGGCTTCTCTGCAGCATGCCCATAATGTTGGAGAGTAAACGATGACTCCGGATTTGCGGAGAATTCTTGTCCTAATCCGTTCCTCTCGACTGGCAAATTATGAATATTATTCAGACTCGATGCATCGGGGAATTGATCATTGCCAAGAAATTCGAGGTTTCCATCATTTTCCTTAGTATATGGTAACTGCAGAGGAGTCTGGCAACCATCCGTGCCAGTAATTGCTTGAGCGGACTCCGGCTTGCAAATTAAGAAAGAAGAATACTGTGATTTGTTCAGATATTCTTCTTTATACCGCCTTTTGTCGAGTTGTGCTTCCGCCCACATCTGCTTCTTGAGAGCCGTTGCGGCTTCCAGTCGTTCCTGCGGAACAACGATTTCACCAACGTAATAGAAAGAAAAATTAATCGAGAACAAGAGATAATCAACAGAAGGGACTTTTGCTTACATACCACAAAATACTTATGTATTTACATATCTAACATCTAAACATTCATTGGTTACATTCATAAGCTCACATCTTTACTATCACATAAAAAATGCCACTATCATTACTTTTTATAAAAGTGAAATATTCATTTTTGTTGTGTTTAAATATACCAAAAAAAAGTTTACATATCTAACATCTAAACATTCATTGGTTACATGCATAAGCTCAAATCTTTACTATCACATAAAAAATGCCACTATTATTACTTTTTATAAAAGTGAAATATTCATTTTCGTTGCATAGGTTCATAAAACCAAGGTGTTCTAAATGTAAATATCAAACTTTGTGTTTAAATATACCAAAAAAAAGTATGACAACAATTCCTTGCAAATACCTCGAGAATTAGACGTATCGAGTTTCCCTCGATAGCCACACCAATCAAAGCAACCAATGCATTAAGGCGCTCCTCGACACTTAAATCCGCGTAATCACCTTCGGTTAAACCCTGAACCCATGGATCACCCAAGTTGCTTTCATCGATTTCCGCACCTTCCAAATTAGTAGATGCTTGCTTGGAATTTGGAAGTGCATCTTGAAAAACTTTATCAGAATGTCTTAAACTGTTGGGCGGGGTTAGCACAATACCGTCACAGAGAATTTCCTTCTTTTTATTATTAGCCGAATTAGAAGTTAGCGCTCCTCTTAATTTAGTCATATAAGGTAAATCCTTGTTCATCTTCGCTTCCACACTACAATCATCAACTTCAGGTTCATCAGCATTCTCGAATTCAGAATCTTCGTCCCTTTCTCCATCATCTCCGTCATCTGCATCCTTCTCAACTTCGTCGGAGTCCGAAAACCCGCTCTGAAACGCCTGTATTCTTTCCCTCGCTGCGGCGAATATTGCATCAGCATCGACGGGATTTTTTCTGAATGGGGCACGAACACAATATGTTGAAGGAGCAGTTCTTTCGAAAAGCTTCGTATCTCGTGATAATGCAGCAGCTATAGATGCTTCGGGGGTTTTGCTGGTTGTGAGGTCTCTCAATCCAGATTTCTAAAGAAAGAATGAAATTCTATTAATCTTGTAAAATAAAGCAAAAAAAGTTTTGAAATTTACCTGAATCTTCTCTGCAACATCTAGAATTGTTAAGCCTTTGCTTCCTTCGAGGGAAAGAACATGAAAAGCTGCGAATTTGACGGTTCCAGGGGTCAAGCGATGGCGAGGCCTACGACGGTGATTGTATCCTCTTACTTGCATTAAAGCAACGGCATTTTCAGCAGCAGCACCGTTCCGCAAAGTAGAGATAATATCCTCCCCATCATTATCCTGCAATTAAAAGAAATAAGTCAAGATAAAGCAAAAACATCCAGCCAAACTAAATATAAAATTATGAGCATGTTACAACAAAAAAAAAATGCAAGAGTATGCTTAATATTCCATATCAGGTATTAAATTATCAGCACACATGCGATAAGCACATCTTTAATAAACTAATTATGTCATATATTGTAGCTCAAAAATCACAGAACTTAAAACAAGCCTTTATAGTTGAAGGCAAGAATAATCCATTGTTGTACTTCAGCATAGAAGTCAAACAATAGTCTTGACATGCTTCAGAAAGTTCTTTTTTGTTATGTAAAAATATAGGGGGCATTTACATGCATAGCACATAATTCTTATGCATTTACATATCCCACACCAAAATTTTCATATTTACACACACAGCACTCGAATCTTTAATATCACATCAAACATTGCATTATTAATATTTTTTGAAAGTGAAGTTAAAGCACTAAAGTGGTATGTATGTAAATATCAAAGATTACATGTATAAATACTAAGTATTGGGTGCTACCTATGTAAATTTCCAAAAAAATTATTTTTTTTATGCCACGAAGTGGTACCCACAATATTGTGCTGGATTAGATTTATTAGACCAAGAAAGATGCATCAATAATATGGAAAAACTTCAATGAACGCACATTTCAATTGCCAAAATTATTTCATTAAAAATTAAATAATTTGTTCATTAATACTGGTGCGAGCTATAGGGAAAAAAACAAATAAAGGCCTTGATCCATACTTTCACCCAAGATTTAAATTTACATTCAACACACAAACTATATAGTTCAGCTGAGCCTGGTTTACATGAGATGATCCATTAACCAAGTAGAAAATTAATATAGGATTATAGCATAATTTAAAAGTAAAAATGCAGACATAAATCCAAATCTCATTGTCTAATCTTCCGATTGTGTTACACTACATCTACATGTAAATTTGCACAAAGTTTGAAAAGGCTCTCCTGAGTTACTTCAAATAACTTCATGCAGCAGATTGTTATATATCTTTTAATGATGACTTTAGCAGAAATTTTCATTGTGCTTTGTTGAAGAATGATAAAATCTCAAGGAGCATAAATTTCTACAAAAGAATAAAAGAATCAAAGCATAGGAGATTAATCCAACATAAACAAAACACATGTCATATCTAAATTACAAAAAGAAAATGAAAGATGAACTCAAAAGAACATTCAAAAAATCTTCATATTATAAATCACACCTCATGGCCATCACGGAAATAGGTCCGCTCAACATTTCTTTTCTTCAGTTGAGGTCCAAATCCAGCCGCGAGAGCAAACTGTCGTAATATTTCTGGCCATGTAAAGTAATTTAAGTGTTGCTGCCAGCTGCAGATATTGAAACCCCAAGCATATGCCTAGTAGAGAAATACAAATGTGAAAAACACGAAAGTAACTAAAGGGACAAATAAAGATGTTGAATACCCACCCCCTCAACAATATGCGGATGACCTCCTCCAGGATTGCCAACACTGTTTTGATTGACTCCCAGTGCAACAGCCGGCGTCCGTGCAAATTCCTCAATATCTTTTATTATAGATTTAAGCAATGCAACATGTATTTCTCCCAACAAACGTGAATCCTTGAAGAAAAGATGCACAATAAAAATAAATAAATAAATAATAAGCTAATTCACACCAAAGGATTATTGGAGTTAAAAAAAAAAATAAAACAATTATGCAATGTAGACTGTAATTTCAGCAAATCAGACTGAGAAATTGAACTTCAAGATATTTACAACATCAATGGTTTAAAAAAGAAAACTACATTCTAAGACAATAATAAGGTGCATCAACAATAAAAATCATTGCTTATACACACAAAGTTTCAAAGTATTAGTAGACAAATAGAATAGTGGTTTCACTATACTCGAACAGGGTTCCTTACCATCAATATATTCAAATCAAAGAAAAATAATTTCTAAAGCTATGATCAATCAAAGAATGAATATTATTGCTCTAAAGTGTTTTAATTATAACATTGTCTAAATATTAAAAGCCAAACAATTCAGTGCTTTCTGTGTCATGAGCAATTTTACAACATAGCATTCAGGGTTTAAGCATTCCATTGGTGATTTAAGGCTTTAAGGTTGCCTTGTAAAACTTAACCTTCTTTCATACAAAGAAATGAATGCTAAAAATAATCAGAGAAACACTCAAAATGATAATTTCATGTAAAAATTGAAGTAAAAGGTTTAAGAGAAGCGAGAGAATAAACAATATAGAAATGTTACATACAACAACAACAATAAAAATGACTTTAATTTTTTAGAATTAAATGAAAATATGACACTAAATAGGACACAATACACTAAATAGGACACAATGGATCACTAAATAGGACACAATGGATAAAAAGGATTCACGTAGCCGACCCCACTTAGTGGGATAAATAAAAAATAATCAAAGAAACACTCAAGATGATAATTTCATGTAAAAATTGAAGTAAAAGGTTTAAGAGAAGCAAGAGAATAAACAATATAGAAATGTTACATACAACAACAACAACAATAATAATTTTAATTTTTTAGAATTAAATGAAAATATGACACTAAATAGGACACAATGGATAAAAAGGATTCACGTAGCCGACCCCACTTAGTGGGATAAATAAAAAATAATCAAAGAAACACTCAAGATGATAATTTCATGTAAAAATTGAAGTAAAAGGTTTAAGAGAAGCAAGAGAATAAACAATATAGAAATGTTACATGCAACAACAACAACAATAATAATAACTTTATCCCACTAAGTGGGGTCGGCTACGTGAATCCTTTTTATCCATTGTGTCCTATTTAGTGTCATATTTTCACTTAATTCTAAAAAATTAAAGTCATTTTTTTTTACAATATGCCCAAGTCATCCTAGATCTACCTCTGCCTTTCTTAACATACGTCGAATCTAAAATATCTACTCTTCTAATCAGATCATCAGATGGAATATAGAAATGTTACATAAAAAATGGAAAAAAAATAAGGTATCCAACTTACATAATCGTGCAGGGATTGAAGAAACTCATCAAGCGTGAATGGCCACAGTCCAAGAACATCAGCAAATGTAATTAAAAACTTCCAAGCCTGAAAATCAACACATTGAAATTAATAAATTATATTGTAAAGGTGGTCAATATAATTCTATCAAATATTTATCTGTGTTAGAAGAAAAAGAATATCGGTAGTAACATGTGTTGTTTTATTTCTATAAGGTTATCCACAAAATCAAAGCGGAGTACAATTGCATACCATAAAACATAAGGCGGAGTATTCTTAAGAAAAATCACCAACAAAAGAAAGAGAAAAAAAATTATGGAAATTTACATGCATTTATGTATTTACATATCTCGCACCCAAACTTTCATATTTACATGTACAACACTTCGGTGTCTTAAACCTACCGTGAAAAAATGTATTTCACTTTTAAAAATTTATAATAGTGCTATTTTTTATGTGATATTAAATATGAGTGTCGTTTGTGTAAATATGAAATTTTAGGTGTGAGATATTTAAATACATAAGAATTGTGTGCTATGTATGCAAATGCCCTAAAAATTTATTGTTCTTTAACAAAAAGACTAAAGCTGGAACGAAGTAATTTACCATAAGAAAGTTGCCAACATTCTCCTCAGACTCAATCCAAGGTTGAACCGAAAAAGGCTTTTTCAATTTAACTGACTTTGGAGGAAAAGCATTCAACATTACTACATCATGCAAAAACAAAATGTTAGCTTGGAATATTTCGTGGAGGCTCCCATAAACTTCACAGATACATGCAATAACAGTGAATCGAAGATACCTTTGAAAGAATCAAGCTGCTCAAGAGTATCACAGTCTAATGAAATTATTGACGATAAGCCTTTCCTCGATGCTGCGAGCTCCATCAATTCTAAGCGCTCATCTTCAATTAACTCCATGGATTCCTTGGCAATTCTGCGAGCAGTAGCTCTCTCATTAGCAGCTTTGAGCCTTGCTGCTTCCTTCTGCTTTCGCAACTCTTCTTTCCGTCTCAGCTTCTCTGCCTGAATCACCCATAAATAAGCAGTAGTAAGATTTAAAAAAAAGGAAAATTTACATACATACCACACAATTCTCATGTATTTACATATCTACCGCTAAAAGTTTGATATTTACACTTATAAAACCTTGGTATTATAAACCTATGCATGAAAAGGTGTGTTTCACTTTCAAAAAGGTCCTGAAGGTGTAATGTTAAAAGATCTGAGCGGCATGCAGGTAAATATAGATATGTAAATATATAAGAATTGTGGGGTGTGTATGTAAATGCTCGATAAAAAATTAAGCTGGGCAGTCTGAAAAATTTTGGAGAAGCTGCTGCAATGGCTGCCTCCTCAGTCTCAGTCACTCTCGACAAAAAAATCAAAACAAGATCTGTACATGGAATCCTCCACAGTACATGCAGGCCATCCGATACAAAAGGAAGATTTACTTACCACTTAATTCTAATGTATTTACAGATCTAACACCCAAATTACAATTTTTTAGATGCATGAAACCTTAACCATGCTTAAAAATATATATCTTACTTTTTAAAGTTAAAACAGAGGTAATTTTGATGTGATATGAAATTTTGGGTGTTATAAATGTGAAATCAAATTTTAGATGTTAGATATGAAAATACACAGTAATTGGGTGGTTTGCAGGTGACTTCAACCAATGAATGTTTGGCAGTTCATGACATGAAGCTTACCCGACGGTTTTCTTTTAGCATTATCTTCTCCCTACGTTCATTTTCGCGTCTCTGCTCCCGTAAAAATCTCTCCTCCTCGCGCTGCTTTTCACGTAAAATCCTCTCCTCTTCCTTCCTTCTATCACGATCGAGTCTCTCCATTTCTCTTCGCATTTGCTCTTCTCTCTGTCAAAATGATACAGGTTTAATTGGCAAACTTCGAGAAACAAAAAATTTATTAAGCTATCAACAAGCCTAAACCTTTCTTCTCAGAATATCCTGCTTTTCCAGCTCTTTCCTAATCCTTTTCTCATGAGCTTCAACTTCCTTTGCAATTCTTGCTTCTTCACTCTACAAATCAAAGCTGGTCATAAAAAGCAAGCAAAAGTATTTCTTTTAGGGGCATTTACATACATACCACCCAATTCCTATGTATTTACATATCTAACACCTAAACTTTACTTTCTTACATTTATGCCGCCCAAATTTTTCGTATCACATCAAAAATACCACCATTTTAACTTTTGAAAAGTGAAATAAACCTTTTCAAGCATAGGTAAGGCGGGCATGTATGTAAAAATTGAAGTTTAGTTGTTAGATATGAAAATACATAGGAATGGACTGGTGTGTATGTAAATCTTCCTTCTTTTTTAAGTATGTATTTACAAAAATATAAATACCTTGCGTTTTCTATCAATTCGACAAGAATCTTCCTCTCGAACGATCCTTCTCTCAGACAAAGAAAACGGGTTTTCGAGCCCCAAAGTTTGATGGATGCTGAATTGAGGATCGGCAGTGCTGTTTCTGAAAGGACTACCATGCGGGGCGCCATCATATTCATTTGTATAAAGCTGTTCCCGAGCTTGTTGTGATAGCAGACCGGAGCTCGAAATGTGGCCTTGGAAAGTGTAAGTCGGCGCAATTTGATCATTTCCATGCAAATACTGATTTCCAGCAGGCAAAGATGGAATTCGGGTACTTGGAGTGGAAACAGGAGGGTCATAAAAATGAGATTGGGGAACCCTTTCATATGATTCAGATCGAATGCTTGGCTGCTCCGGAAGAAACTGATACTCCTGAAGCGCTCGGGGAGGCACCTGTGGATGAACTGAATGAGCCCCACTGGCTGCTGCTTTTCTTTTCCCAGTTAATGAACCAGACAGAAACGAATGCTCCATGCTAGGTAGGAGGGCTGAAGTCTGTATAATCGAAAAAGCTTAACATCAAAACCATTAAAGCATAGCAAACTAAAATCGGACCCGTCTGAAAGTAACCAATGGCACTAAATTATCACAACATGTGAAATGTATGTGTCCCTTGAAGCGCTTTGGCAATTTAATTTAGGGGCATTTACATACATACCATCCAATTTATCTATTTAAATATCTAACACGTAAATTTTGCTTTTTTACATTTATACCAACAAATATATCCATATCACATAAAATTTACAACCATTTTAACTTTTAAAAAGTGAAATACACCTTTTTATGCATAGGTAAGCTGGCATGTATGTAAAAATTGAAAGTTTAGGTGTTAGATGATTAAATACATTGGCATTGAGTGGTATGTATGTAAATCTTCCTTTAATTTATTATATCATGGGGGCACCATTAAAATAGATCAAAAGGCGAGCCTCGGGACCATGGACCGCTGCCTCAGCTATGCGGTGTGCTCCATGAACACCCATCTTAGTTGTCCAAAGTTATTTTAACTTGCCCAGTCCCCAGACAGGCCCCATAAAATAGCTTCTAAAACATTGACACAGATGTATATACAAATATAACTTTGAATTTACGTATATGTCAAGTCAATTCCAAGCCGAACCCATATAATTTCAAAAGATACCTCTAGCAATCCAATTCTGAGTCGACTAAACTTCTGAGAGTAAATTAGTATTTATAATGTGAAGAGTCAAACCTTCATTGACTTCCCATCATAAGGTCGAACAAGTTGCTTTGCCTGGGTTGACATTCCTGGTCATCAAATGAAGCAAAAATTGTATTAAAAGCCCAACAAATGTGTTGAGTAATCTTTGATTTCACTCCAACATGTAGGGGAAAAAAAAACTCATTAAGTTCCTTCGTCATCCTATTTCACATTAGATGAGGAAGAAACTAGACACAATGGTTTTCAGTTTCAGTAAATTACAGCACATTACAATATAAAAAAAGACAATAGCCTCATACAATGCATAGAAGTGCAAGGGAAAAATGTATAAATGTTATATGTTATTTATGAGTTAAAAAAAATAATAATAAGAATTTATCATTCATCCACTTTTAAAATACTTTCCTAAAGCAAAGTTAATGATTCATCTTTAATACTTCAAGCCTGATTCAAAAGGATAAAATTAATGAATTATTTGTAATATTACTAAAACAAAATATTCTAAGAATTAAATGATTAATTTCCTCTGAATTAAAAAAAAAAATTCAACTTCATTCTTTATATAAGCTCAAATTAATAAAACAAGAAATAGTATATGGATTATAATAAATTCCAATATAAACAATTCCAAATATGAAACAAAAGAAAATCTGCATAAACTAGAGATTGGAATCATTATGAAATCACTAACAGTGCCTAATATAACAATCATCTTTTTCAAAATAAAAGATTATAAATATGATTAGTTGTACATACCACCAAGCAACAACAGGTCAATTAACATGAGTAACATTTTCATAAATATCAAAGGCATTGAGGTCGAAGGAAACAATTGTAATTTAAAAAATAATTACCTGAACTCTCAAGTCTATCCAAAAATTGAAGACTTGCAGCATGTACATGAGTTGGATGAGTAGGCACCTCAGATTCTTAAAAGCAAATTAAAAAAAAACATGAATTAGAAGTAAATAAACGATGCTTGGAGTAATCAAGAACAGCCCAAATAAAAAAGAAAATTTTATCTAACAGATTAAAGTGTTTAATAAAATAGTGATGCGCCAGATTCAATATGAAAAGAAACTTTCTTCTTAATTAATGCAAAAAGTAATGATAGTGTTTATGTGTAGAATGTGAAAAAAAACACTTTTTATAACAAGCAAAACTAATAAAACATCAAAAGATACGGCTAAGAAAATACATTAAAATTAAGGAACTAGCAGCTAAATGAATACATGGGGCAAGGCTATGAAGCAAGCATTGATTTTTAAGGCATTTCTGCAAGTCATACGATCTACAACAGAAAACAAAGAGGAAGCTAACAAGAAATTGAAATCTATAATTTAAACAAAATAACATCCTAGGATAAATAACTTGGCATATTCTTCTCTCTCTCTCTCTCTCACTCTCTCTCTCTTCCTCCCTCTCTCTCTCTCTCTCTCCAGATGGATATTTATAACAACACTTCTTCTTCTTTGGGAATTAGTCACTCGAATTAAATAGAAAAAGCAACCATTTTAGTCCCAAACAATATAAAATTTTGATTTAATCCAAGGATTCTTAAAATATAAGCCAAATAGTCCCATTGTTAAAAGTAAGGGGAATTCAAGCTAAAATTAATGAATGATGTTAAAATGGGGTGTTTTATGAATCTAGATATTAAAAATTTGTACAAATTTTCATTAATAACTTTTTTAAGCTTGCAATATTTTGTAGGAAATCTAATAATAATAATTGCTAAAGTTTATAAATTTAATATTGATTGACTCTGTGACAGCGCATCTAAAATAATTAAGGAATAAAGGGAATATTTTCAATAGATTATAACACAAAAAGGTAAGTAGAGAATTAGCTTTTGCAAAATTTCATAATATAAATTCTTAATTTTTAATGACATCCGTTAATTTTAACTTCAATTTTCTTAACCTTTGAAGTTAAGACCATTGTGAATCCTATTTTAAGAGCTTATGGACTAAATCTGACATTCTAAATAATCTGAGACTAAACTAACCCCCACCAGAAAATTACACTTGAATTAAAGAGAAATTATTTAGATTTCAAATTCTACGAAGACTTCTTATCCTTGATTTAGCAAGTACTAACGAATTTGATTATGCTATAAATAGGTATTAATTGATGCAATAAAAATCTAAGAGATCAAATGCACATTAAATTCCTATTGTAGATTTCCTATAAATGAATCAATTTCCAACACTTAAAAATAAATCTAATCCTCCAAAATCTCTCTCATCTCCACTCCCTCTCCCCCAATAAGCCTAGAACTAGCAGCTCGGATGGCAGCCACTCCCCATGCCATTAGCTAACTTTACTAACAACCAGAGGCTATCTATAGCCATTTTTAGGTCTAAGTCAACAAAAAACAACGATGGATGTTGAATGAGTTCGGAAAGAACATCCAAAAAACATGACCCATAAAAAATAACAAAGAAATGTTTCAATTCTTGCAGCTAATGTTTTTGAGAAATAATGAAAAGGAAGTGATAATATTTTATATATAGAATTATGTGTGTGTGTGTGATCCTTGGTTTCATTGTTGTTTGTTAACAATAGCATTGCTTTTTTAGATTTGTTGTGCGTTTGCTTTTCTGGTTGCAATCAAAATCAAATGGAACTAAAGGGGAAATAATAACAGGATTCAGAGAGATTCAATAGACAGAAACAAAGGACTTGGGAGAAAAGAGCAGGAGGAGAATATTTATGTGGCAAATATTATATATTGTATTTATCTCAATGCTAGTAAAAGCATCTCTCTACAAAGCTATGAACGTAAATGAATATGCCAAACCATATAAATATTGTCTTTTTTAGTCAGTATTTTTTCCTCCGAGCTTATTATATTTTCATTGAACTCATCTGTATTACTTTTCAAAGGCAATTGACTTTTACTAGTATCAACGTCATCGAGCTTTCAAGCTATCTTACACACACACACACACACGGATATACATAATCTATGTCTATATTTGTGTGTGGGTGTGTTCATGGGAGCGTGCGTGTGGGTGGGTGTGAGTGTGGGTGTGGGTGCGTCTGGGTGGGCGTGCTTGGGCGCGTGTGTAGGTATGTATCTATGTGCAATTCAATCCTTAACATATTCATAAGTTTAACTTTCAATTGAGATATTAATAAACAGAAATAATATGTTGAATGCTTGATCATGCCTTCAAGGCTCCTAAATTGAGAAACAAGTTTAACTTTCAATAACCAATTATCATGTTTCTAGATTCCCTTTTTATAATAGTAAGACAATTTTTGTGCTCTCTTTAAACATTAACAAGTGAAAAACATAAATTTTCTAGATTCCCTTTTTATAATAGTAAGACAATTTTTGTGCTCTCTTTAAACATTAACTTTCAAAAAAATTTCATTTCCAAACAACATTGCCTACAAAAACCATGAAAAATCAATAGATTCGTGAAATCATCAATGTGAATACCAATAGGCGCTCCAAATGCTCCGGGGGGCAGCGGATCAAACTCCACACCAAGAATTGGCCCATCATCCCTAAGCGGTTCACCGAGCTGAGCCTCCACCGATGCCAAATCCTCTCCCACCCCGGCGGAGGTGGCGGTGGAGGAGAAGGAGGCTCCTCCACCTTCTTGGCCTTCTTCCCCGGTGCAAACTTCCGGTCCTTAAGCCTCCGGTGGCAAAACCACATCTGAAGCTGACGATCGGAAAGCCCCGTTTTTGCTGATAGCTCCGCCCTCAGCGTCTCCGATGGGTAAGTCTCAACTGCGCAGAACACCAAGAAAAAAATTAAAGGGATAGAGATAAAAATCAAAGATAATAACAAACAGGAGCGCAAAAATCAAAGGAATACCGACCTGCATAAGTCTTCTCAAGGATCTCTAACTGGTATGGACTTTTCATCTTACGCTTGGACGGTTTATCCTCGCCGCCCTCGGGAGGCTTTTTCCACCCTTCCGGCGGCGGATTTCCATCCCCGCCGTCGGCGATCTCCATTGTTATCCGAAACCCTAGATCTGTAACTCGAAACCACGATTGCAGAAAAGTTCTAACTAACTAGGGTTCCTTTCTCGTGGGAACACATTGATTTACACCGATCAATGATGCGTAAAAGCAAAGTTCGGGATCTTGCGTGGAGAAGAAACCAAAAAAACAAAAAAAACAAAAAAAAATAAAAAATCCCAACAGAAGAAGAGATGCGCCGTGGGATTTTCCGACAAAGAACGCGATGAGAGATGAACAAAAACACCAATTGAAAAAGAGAGGGGTTGATGGAGGGAGAGGCAGGGAGAGAAAACAGGATAGAAGACAGGAAAAGAGAAGAGGCTGATGATAAGAATAAAATTTGAGAAAAAAAAATAAATAAATTCATGGGAGGGGTTTGATTGATTCCGTATCGGGCTGATTAAAGATGGAACAATTCCGCAGTGAATCTCCTCCATCATTTCTTTTCCGCAGGTGGAGAAAAAACACGATTTTTGAGTGTGCGGCTCGATAAATTTTGCTTTTTTTTTCTATTTTTTTGATTCTGTATTAAAAAAAAAATTTAATTTTTTCCTCGAATCGAGCGGGGATTTTAATTGAGTGAGAAGGAGGAGCGCACCGATTTTGATTTTAATCTCGATGTTAGGTCTCGGTCGGGTGGATCGGAATCAAGGTTTGATCTTTGTTTTATTTCTGGTTTTTGGTTTTCGCACGATTTGATCGGGCGGGTCGGTTGGTGACCCGAAGTTGTGGCGGGTTTTGAGTTTGTGGAATGGCGGCGGGAGAGAGAAGAAAACGGAAAAGTATGTTTATATTAATTTATTAGGGTTCTCAATCAAATTTATTATTTTTTTTTAAGATTTCTATGTATCTTTAATGAGTTTTGTATTTGAAATAGTAGTTGATTTTTCAATTTATTTGTGTTAGATAATTTGCGGTGGTAGAGTAATGGATTATCGTTTTAGCGTTGCACGAGAATTTAACACACTCAGATAAAAGAAACCATTAATGACACTATAAGCTCTTATGTGGATACCCTGTAACGACAAAACCCACACGGCCTAACAAACTGAAGAAATCCACTATAAATTGGATATTACATGTATTGTTCGACTAACACAGGCAGGAAAGGGTTGAATACTCTTCGAAGTTACAAAGTCGGTGCACAAATAAACTTGTAAGAAGTGGGTGGCAGATAATGGTGATTAGTGGAGGCCAACAGGAGGTGGTCGACAGCGGTTGGTGATAATCGATGGCGGTCAGCGGTGGTTAACTGAGGTCGACGGCGGTCGACGGTGATCAGGAGGTGGTCGACAGCGGTTGGTGATAATCGATGGTGGTCAGCGGTGGTTAACTGAGGTCGACGGTGATCGACAGTGTTCGACGGTGATTGATGGTGACTGGAGTGATGCTAGACTTTAGCTCTTCAAAACTTCAAGCTCTCCTCCCCCCTCATCAAAGGGGTGGGGCTCTATTTACAAGATGCTAGACTTTAGCTCTTCAAAACTTCAAGCTCTTCTTCAGGCTTCAAGCTCTCCTCCCCCCTCATCAAAGGGGTGGGGTTCTATTTACAATTAATGCAGAAATATAAACCACTTTGATCGGACGGTCCGAAAAGTTTTCTTTAATCAGATAGCGTTTAATGGACATTTAAGTGTCTTAACAATGTTAGAATTGAGCAATCTTGGGCTCGCTGGATTCGTCTTGTCGAGATGTCGATTCGACTATAGGTTTGTTAGATTCAACATTTGTTTGACCTACTAAATATGTCTGACTAGATTCAACATTTGTTTGACCTACTAAATATGTCCGAAAAACTTTCAAGAGTGATTTAATAACTTGATCTGAGCTTGATTTGACTTGGATTTGACTAATTTTGATATCATTGAGTTTGTCTTATCGAGTCGATCAGTTTGACTACCAATTTACTAAAATTGGAGCTCTGGATGATTTTTTATCAATATTTGCACATTTCTTGCTCAAATGATTGTCTCAAGATCCATGTCATGCCTCGAGATTCTTGTCAAATGAAGAGAATTGTTGATAGTGTATTATCGATAATTAAGTGTATGAGGTTCAAGTTTATCAAATATATAAAATTATTAACTAACTATCTTATTTATGTAGACTAATATCACATAAATTTTAAAAAAAAAGGATGAAATTTCATTAAAATTACGATTTGTTGTACAAATTTTAAGTTGAGGGCTTGACATATAACAGATAGATTTAAGGATTGTTCTGATTGGCTTCACTATCAATATTGTATAACTAAAAGCAGCTACTATGACCAGCAAGGCGGGAGTAATTCTCGATGTCTTTTGCCCTAGTACCAATCGATGAAAGAACGAGCGTATGAGCGAAGGGAATGAATTTTGATTGATGAATGTCCGAGCAAATGCTAGTTGGGAGCTAAAGATCAGACACTGAAGGCTGGGCATTAAGAGCCAAGTACATGAGGCCAAGTATCGAAGGTCAAGTACGGGGGGCTGAGTGTCGGGGCCCAATATGGAAGACGAGTGTTAAGAAATATGAAGATATCTAAAAGTAAATAATAATGGACATCCATGATATTCTTTTAAATTCAAAGAGGAGATCCATAGAAGTCCAAGCATAATAAATGTTTAACTATTCTTTTTAAGGAAACACACTTTTATTAAAAAGAGTAATAAATGTAGATATGATTTTACCTGTTTGAATCTAAACAAAACTTTCAATTATTAAAGTTTATCTCATTTATTCAGCCCACGCTTTCTCTCTCTACCTCTTCATTCTCTCTCATTGCCCGCGCTCTATTCCTTGGGTCTGAATCAAGGATAGAAAGGGCTTTCGCAAATATAATACAAATTAAATACAGTTAATTTTTACTTTTTCACATTTGGCTGAAAAAATAAAATGCAATGTAAAGTTTAATAAATCTAAAATCTACACTTTAATTCAATTTTGATGTATATGAATGTTGGTCGGAATGGTTGTTCCCAAATACGTCAAAAAAAGTATAGCTGACCACTATCAATGCCATCGTTTGTTTGCCCACCACAAAAACTTTATTCCGTTAACCACCAATATGTCATTGTCAGCTACAATTGTTACTGATTGACAACCGTTGATGACACTGATCGTCGACATCACCACTCATTCAGGCACGTAACTAACCTATTTTTGTATAGTGGCGACATTATATATAAATAAACAATAATAATAATTAAATGATGTTGTTGATGATGATGATGATGATAAATGAATGAAAATAAACAACCAGTATTTTTATGAGAAAGGGGCAAAGTTATAACTTAAAAGTGTGCAAACTTGTAAACAAACTTTTCATAAAAAAGAATAAATAGCATTAATATGGACATCTCTAGTACCTCGAAGGAAATATTACACGTGTTATTGTGGTGGTATTGTGATATTCACATGTAATATTTCCTCGTCACTAAATCTATATTGATTTCACTTTCATTCAATCAAAAAAATAAATATAATGTCTTAAGCTTATTTTACAGCCATATAACTTCAAAATATTTCATTTACATATAACTCCTTTCACTATGCTCTCTTTTAGCTAGTCAAACTTCTTCTTTAGTCAAATAACTATTTTATTTTATTTTTTTTTGCTTAATATTTTATGTCAAAATTTAAATTTTATTAATACATATACTTTCAAAATTAGATAAAAACACAAATAAATATATCATTAAATTATATTTTTATAAATTTATTTTTCTTAAAATTATATTTTTATAAATTTATTTTTTTTTCAGACTTATTAATGGATAAGCATGAAAATAAAATAACTCCAATATATTTTTATTATTACCTATTTATTTTAATTTATTTAAAATTGGCTTATATTTGACTCATGTTCAGTTCAAATTCTAATAGTCAAATAAGAACACATTGTTTAATATCAATTTTAAAAGCCAAAAAATTATTGGCCAAGTTAATTTAAATTATTAAATGTATGCCAATAATTTTTTTTTTAAATTTTAGCTTTTGTATTTTGCTTCAAGAACTTTAGGAAAAAAATATATATTAGAATATTAAAATAGGAATAAGTTCACTCTCATTAATTCAAAGGTCGTCGCTTAAATAAAATTAAATTATTAAGAATATAATAAAATTTAAAAAACATACAATCGAATAATTTATAGAAATTATTAATTAAGAGTCTATTTGGGGCATCTGCAACTTATTCATATGATGCTGATAAACTGCTGAAAAAAATAATCCTCTGTTCAAAAGCTGCAGTGGCTATTATTATTATTATTTTTTTTTTTTTGGAAAAATTAGACTGCAACTAGAAAGTTGTCACCTCACTTGGCATGAAACAGTGTGAAAACATTGATTTCAGCGGTTTGAAAACACAACTTTTTGAATAAGTTGTCAAAACACAGTTTACCTAAACTGTCTTGGGTGCATTTTTAAAACACGCCATACCAAATAAGCTGCTCCAAACGGGTATAATCATGATAGAAAAAAATAGAGGAAACCTCTAAAAAAAAGTATAATTAGTACTAACCACTCAAAACTTCGATATTTACCAGTTAACCACCTAGGTGATGATTTATTCGGACAATCAAATTGATGTATTTATGAGTGTCACGATAAAACTACTGACAGTTTGATAAAAAAGAAGAATACGTGTTGAGTTTTTTTCAAGGATTTTGTTATTTGAGCGAGAATTTGAAAAATGGATGAAATAAGATGGTAAATTTATAAATAACAAGTTTAGGCAGGTTTGTATGTAAAAAACTGGATTATTAAATAATAGCACTTAGCTATTACATATTTCACAAAATTAAAAAAGAGAAATATTACAAAAATTAGTAAATTTACATGAATTTACGAGAACGTGTTGTCTCGGTAATTTTGAGAAAATATTAGGTCAGGACTCCAGATGCATCCATGGTCCTATAAAGGAACGACACGTGTAAAGTGGACCAATCACAATGTATTGAGATGGTTCACTTTACACGTGACGCCTCCTTATTAGACTTCGGATGATCTGGAGTCCTGACCAAATATTTTTTCCGTAATTTTAGTAGCACATATAATAAAATCAATATCATACAAACTTATAATAATTTTTCCCGCTTGTTATTATTTCAAATTCAATATCATAGCATTAAATTTTATCTACAACATTAAAAAATATTTAATAAATTACGTTTCAAAAAATATCAGCCGGTTAGTTCAAATCAATCAAATAATTTATATGTTTGAATACGATGAAAAAAATAATTATAAATTTAGCCAATTTATAGATTAAAATGTTATAAATATTATCATATTTTCTAAAATGTGATCGATGTTATACAAATACTATTATTTTGGGCTATCTCTATCTCTAGCTTTAAGCGTTCATCGAGCACGTGCATTACACTAAGATCTGACACATGTAAAAAGAAAAATTATTTATGTGAAAAATCCAAAAGGGGCAAAACCACGGGACATGACTGAGTTGAAAAAATTCTACTAAGTTGGTGCAGTTACAAAACTTTATCAACCTTTGAATAGTCAGAAGCAGTATTACAGAAATAAGATGTGGCTTTCGCTTGGGAAATGAAAAATATCGAGGAAGTGACGATGACCCCGCAACTGTGAAAAAAAAAACCGAATGTAGAGGTCGAGTGCCAGAAAGTTTGATGCCAGCATTGACAATAGCAAGGCGATGGCGATGGTCGAGCGGTAGAGGTTTGATGGTGGCGACCGTGGTAGTCCAATGACGATGGTGGTGGTCCGGTGTCAACAATGGTGGTCCAAC